TAAGTGACTTAGTAGGTTCTACTAAAACGGTCCTAAAACTATTAATTTTTGTGATTATATCTCTAATAGAAATATAGGATAAATTTAGTATATAATTGATAAACTTACTTATATTATTATATAGATAGATATTAGATCCTATATCGAATACCTAGAGATTATATAAGAGATTATTATATAATATCTATATTATTTATATAGTAGTATAGCCACTAAATTGTATTATTATTATTATTATTTTATTATTCTTTTTATTATCTAAAGTATACTTTTTTAGGGTATTTTAATATATATGATTAAAGCCTTTATATTAATAGGCTTTTTCGAACCATTCTTCTATATTAGGTAATACTTTCTAATCATTTAGTCTCTTCTTAGGATTAATATAGCGGTAGTTATTAAATATATGGTTTCTTTACTTTAGGTCTTCTTAGTAAGGGTATTAGAGATTATATATTAGTTTCGTCTAATCTTTCTACTAGTTTTTACTACTTTAGTCTTTACCGCTTTAGTCTTTACTACTTTATTTATTACCTTAGAAAGTAGTATATATAACCTTTATTACAATCTTTAGCGGGTTTAGATAAATAGAATTGTGGTATTTTTTAATTAGCGAATAGAAATCAGGTAATATTCTACCTAATTCTTTAAGTATTATAAAATGATTAGTCTAATACTTAGTAAAATATGGGGATAATGATCCTATAGCTTTAAGAAAGTCGTATAAAGTATATAATCCTATAGCTTCGGCGATTTCTGTTTAGGATACTTCTATATAGATATTCTCCTAATTTATAAGCTACTTCTCGATCGATCGATCACGTGATAGTCCTTACTATAAAGCATGCCATTGGTATATCACGTGACGTTTTCGTAATTCGTTTATTAGTGCGAAGATGTTATATAGCGTAGATAAAGTATCTCGACTAGCTATGGCGTTGCTAATTAGTCGTCTGTTATTGATTGAGATTGATCTAATAATGGTATGGAATAGGGCTCGAGCCCTATTATCAATCGTCTTAAATCGTTTATAATCAATCTCGTATTCTTTGTTACGATCGCTATGTTTGTTTGCTTATTTGTTATTGGCATTATTGCAAAGCAGTCAGCGGCTAGCTATATTAACTAGCTGTCTCCCACTTTGTAACTTGCTTCTTCTTTCTCCCTTATCTTAGTTATTTTGAATTGATGCACTCTTTATCTTTGCAAGACCTGGCTCGTCATATAATAACTAAGATCCTTGCTACGCAGTCCTGTGGCAAGTAGTGGCAAGCTTTCGTATACCGTACAGAAGTCTCATTATGAGTACATTCTCAGTCGAAGCATCTTTTCTCTTTTAGACAGTCCAGTGACGCAGTAGACCTTAGGTTACGAGCTAGAGACTAGACTGCTCCGGGACAATTAAGTAAGCTGTGCGCGAGAGACTTTTTCGGACCCTCCTACCCAGAACCCCGACTTTTTTCTTTTTCTTGATGAAACTGAATTCTTAATCTTGAATCCACCTTTTTTTCTTCTTTCCACCATACCTAGGCCAAAGGTTCTAGTGCAATTTTTCAACCTCGCTCCCTTCCCTCGATCCTCGTCAAAATAGATCCTCAATAACAACTTCACGCCGAACTTCGTACAGAACTTGGCGCAGAATTCACCGCCACAATCGAGACACTTCGCGGCAAAATCCGAGATCTTTAACAGATACTTCAACAAGCACAGTTTCAACAACCACCTATCCCCTAAGCAAGACGTCCAAAGTCTTCGCTTCCAGACCCAGAGAAGTTTACCGGTCAGTCAGTTAAATACAATACATGGGATACCGCTATTCGTACTAAGCTCGATATCGCATGTGATTCCGGTATACACGATTTCAATACAATTCTCGATCAACTCCGTCGCGTTTACGATAATCCCAATAAGACTCAAGAAGCCAAAGATCGTCTCCTTTCGATCAAGTAGGATACCGATTCGATCTCCGCTTTCTATAAAGGCCTTAATAATTTACTCCGCAGCCGCCTTTCTTAACAACTGAATCTTCCACGTACTTACCCGGAATTTATCAAAATTGTCCAATAACTCGCCGGATATTCTTTCTCGTCCACTCATTCTTCAAACGTAACAAATTCTTCGCATACGAATTCTAACAACAACAATAACGGCGACCGTATGGACCTTGCTGTCGGTTCAATCAACCCAGACCTAGCTGCTCTCGAAGCTAGTAACAAAGATGATTTTGATTACAACGCTGCTATTGCTAGTCTAGCATCTAGGGACTAGATGGAATTTCGCGCGGGGGATATGTTACGATCGCTATGTTTGTTTGCTTGTTTGTTATTGGCATTATTGCAAAGCGGTCAGCGGCTAGCTATATTAACTAGCTGTCTCCCACTTTGTAACTTGCTTCTTCTTTCTCCCTTATCTTAGTTATTTTGAATTGATGCACTCTTCATCTTTGCAAGACCTGGCTCGTCACATTCTTGTCTCAATTCTTGCCAGAGAGAGAGTTGATGATTGGTTAAAGTGAATATCGTCTCATTGTTTGCAAATGTCTCGGCAAAGACGGGACGAATGGGTTCAGTTGGCATTGGTTGGGTCATTGTTTCTTCCGGATTAACGTAATCCCATAGTCGGTAACTAACGGCAATTGATCTGATATGTGCATACCAGACTAGCCAATCAGATTGCTTACTAAGTGTAACTGGGGATTTCACTTCCGTTATGGTGGCAAAATCAGATGGAAGAAGATTGGATAAGATAAGATCAGATCAGATGGACAGTTGATGTTAGCTTCAGATGAAAGGGTCAGGCCGGGCTCATAACTGTTGGAGTGTGGCAGAACTAGGCACAATGCTTTGTAATGCACTCTCGAGGGGTCAAATGCGTAGTGTTTAAACAGATAAACAGCTAGGCGGTCAAGTGTCAGGTCAAAGATGAGATCAAAGTGTATATCATGGGATGAAATAGTCAATTTGTCTAACTACCATTCAGTACAATTTGGGGCTTTCTTATAGCAATCAAACATCGCGGATAACTCGGTAAATCAAAGATCAGATGATTCATGACTTTTCTTCAGATGAATCATGATTTCTCTTCAGATGAATCATGACTTTCTTCAGACGTAACAAAGCAAGATGGGATGTAACAAAGTAAGCAATCAATGACATCATCAATTACATCATTAAAACAGGAACACATATATTCCAACAGAACCCGATTCAGATAAGTAGTAAGATTGACCTTGAAATTACTACAGTAGCTGCGCTATATCTCCTCTACAGTCAGACCTATATACCAAAAGTATCCCTCTACGCTTCCTTCCCTAGTACCGACTGTATTAATATACCACTCAAGGAAGGTATCAAATCCTTAGTCTAGATTATCTTTATATAACTGCTAATACCGCTAAATAAAGGCCTTTAGCTCAGTAAAGAACTCCTTAATAGGATTTAGATCTAGAGAATATAGAGATAGGTATACTAGTTTCATACCAGCTTCGGAATATAACTACTCTATTTAGTCAGAGTAATAAAATAACACGTTATCTATAACTAGCACAGACTTTAGCTCAGGCTATTTCCTATAATAGCAGAGCAGTTACTTAATAAAATCCTTAAAGATAGATATATCAGTCGAGCCTTAGAATACTCGAGAGAAAACAATACTATCTTAAGCATATATAGGTAGTATCTAATATCGCTAATTACAATAGAATTTAGATACTTGAACTGGTATTACCCCTAGTAGAGACTACCTGGTTTACCTAAAGCCAATCCTTTTATTATACCCAGATTTATCTATATATATAAGGTAGTATAATCTAAAATCTGAGATAAAGTAGGAGTATTTATCACAGAGGTCGTGGTTACACTCTCTAGCCTTAACCTAGGCAGTCTTTTTTAACCAGCGTTTTAATATAAGAGCGTAACTAATACTAGACTTCGTCGCTTGGATATAGAACTCATCCCATAGAAAAAGTACTATCTTACTAAGATATAGGTTAGGCTTTTCTAGTAGGTGATTATAAAGGGCTTCTAGTATAACTAGACTGATGCTTTATGGTCTACCACCTTTATTAGGCAGTGCTTTAACGCTACCAAATGTCCGAATATTGGAAGAGATTCTTAGGATAGTACGCTTATTACAGCCAGCAGCCTTTACCATCTACGATATAGATAGTTCCCTACTCCGGAGCATGTCCTGTATAAGCTCATGCTTTGAAGGGGCTAGATTGGGCGCCATCTTAGTGTGACCAAAAGCTGATTGTTAAGATCTGCCTGTACCAAGGGACGAAGTTCTAAAGTGGGGTATCGAAGTGTCAGTGTATCAAATTACAAGTTAATACGTCCTACTACATATCCAGATTACTCTACGTAAGAAACAATACAGGGCCCACTGACAGGGATACTCCGGAATAACTCCCAATATAGACTAGTCTGTCTTGGCAATTAGGGTTTGAGAAACGATCGAAGAGTGTAAGTGGTGACACCACCTGCACTCTTTGATTATTTCTCGAACCCTAATTGCAAAACTGCTATACCGCATTGGGAATAATTTCGGAGGATCAATATTCCTGTTAGGTTACCTATACGGTACTTTACGCCAAGTGATACTTGTACCTCGTGTCTCATTACTGTATGTACAGAGCAGCTGGAAGCTTCCATGCCAATGCAAACCAGTCAAAGATAAGGAGCTGGAGCAGGCCTCTGCCACCACTCCCGCCCATACTCAAGTGACGGTCCCGGGGCTTACTCTGTACATACTAGGTAGCAGAAACAGTGACTTACAATACCTTGCTTACTTGTAGATGTACTTGTGACCGCTCCAGCAAAATAGCCCCCAGCGCAATTTTTCCCCTTTGCCCGCATTCTCCATCCAGTCCGCAACCTGCGTTGAAGTTCTCGACTAGACAAAAAAAATCCCAACATGTAGGTGTCTAGGGATCTTCATTCATTCATTCTCAACAACCCGCAGATACCTAATCCTACCAAACAGCCCAACGACCAGCCGAAATGGAAGTCGTCGCCGCCACTGCCTCTATTACTGCTCTGCTTGAGTTCGCAACCCACATTATCAAATACGTGAAGGGCGCCATCGACGCGCCAGTTCAGAAAAGAAAATTACTTACTGCGCTTGTTCAAGCACGAGGCCTGCTATCCGCCTTGCGTGATCTTACGGATGAGGTCAATGATGAAGACTGGTCATACACCGTTCAGAGTTTATCTGTATCCAACGGCCCGCTTTCTACTTTCAAGGATATTCTGGAACAGATATCTAGAAAGCTAGGGGTACCAACTCGCGACTCTAATATCGCAAATATTCTCAGTCGACCCCGCTGGCCATTTGATCAGTCTAGCGTTCACGGCATGCTTTCTTCATTGGAGCAACTCAAATCGCACTTCTTGTTGGCTATTGCAAATGACCATGTGCGCCTTTCCATGGCGATCCGAAATGAACTTCACGAGGTCCATCACGAAATAACCACTGCCTTTATTGATACTCAAAGACGAGCTATAGTTTCCCTTTCTAAGGAGCAAGAGCTTATTGTACAGTCTTTGTGCGTGGAAAATTTGTCAAGAGATCTGAATAAAGAGGACACCATGGAGAAGAGAGTTGGTACCGAGTGGTTTCTGAGTCATAACGGGTTCAAAGAATGGCATGATGCAAGCTCTCCTAGCTCTCATCGAAGTACCCTTGTACTCACCGGTCTAGCTGGGTCCGGTAAATCAACAATATGCCATGCGACTCAATTTTATCTCAAAGCATGGCATCAGTCGGAAATTGATGTTTGCGTCTTATATTTTGGCTTTCAACTTTCTCAAGAAGGATGTCGGAATAAGTCACTAGTGCTCTCCAACCTTGTGCAGAAGATGATATTGGAACGTCCATATCTCATGGAGCATGCTTCCGCTATGAGAGTTACAGGTGGAATGTTGACCCCTAGTGAGAGCATCGATTTGCTCCGTCGAGCAAGTTTTGACCTCAAACACCTTTACCTCATTTTAGATGGACTAGATGAGGCAGGCGGTATGGGTTGCGATCTCCTTACGGATCTACTTGCTATTGATCCACCTCTAAGGATACTCATCGCAACGCGATCAACGCCAGAACTTCGTCAAACTCTTCAAGGCCATGCTACAATCGACACAAGTAATGCTTGGACGTTTGCTAATAACCTTGAACTTGTAAAAGCCATGCTCGAAAAAGACTCGCGCGTGGCGGGATATCTTGATCATAACCATGAAAACTTTGTTACTGCGGCTAAAATCATTGCCGAACGAAATGCAGGAATGTAAGTTACTATGAAATCCCCTTCCAGAGGTCACGCCTCCCATAACGTCTACTCTCAACTTTATCAAATGGCTAATTCCCCGTAGCTACGTGTGTTCGGCAGCCATGGTCGAGTTCTTAGCAAAGGCTGAGACTAAAGCCAGGTTTGAGCGTTTATTATACAGCCCACCCTTAACCCTCGCTCAAATGTACGAGTTAATGCTTGATGATGTTATGCATCAGCCACCGGAAGCTGTGGCACTGGCCAAGAAGACCCTAAGGGTCCTGATGGAAACTGCAGGTCCCGTGAGCATAAGCCAGTTGAAGAGTGCCTTGGCCTCTGAATCAGAGGACACCAGTTATGTTGGGAAAGATGTGACGGAAGAGGAACTATTTGAAGCCTGTATAGCAAGTTGCAAAATGTTTGTTGTCTCTGTTAGTGGCGACAACACAGCCACCCCACTATTAGGATTTGCCCATTCGTCTGCCAGAGAGTTCTTTGACATTAATGGTCTTCCGGCATGATTGACAAGACGTTTTATATCGACTACATTTGTTGCAAAGTGCTGCGCGCTACTGAACACATTTTGTAAGCGTTCATCTTTTAGAGACAGGGATGCTTGTTACAACCATCAATATATTTGTACTGTGAATTTTCCCGGGCTACTTCGGGTGTATCGTAGCTGACCATCAGGCGCTGAGCTGAATCATAGCTGTAACTTGCAATTGGTTCGTCCAAATAGCTGACAATTGCACCTGAGGGAGGTAGACTTTATAACCCCACACTCCCTTCCTTGGGTTCACTCCGCTGCCGTTCAAAAAAGTTGTCGTGGCGGCAAGCCGCGGCCAAATGGAACGCCAGAATCTTCTCTGGTCGCAAAATTGAGGCATTGCGTGGACAATACATCGATCTGATCATGGTAGTAAGAGAACCATGGCGTTGGTCCAGCGTGCAGCTGGCAAAGCAACGCAGATAAAGGTAAGGATTTGTTTCACTGACAATATCCAGATCATTGAAATGTGCCTTCAAGATGCGAAAACGAAGCATTCTACTCGAGACAGTCGAGCTCAGCTTCTCCTACAACTTCCTCAGACGAGGATCCACAGATCGCAATGATTCACAGGAACCATTTGGTGCGAATATGGGTTCAGTTTGCTCTTTCGAGATGCCGGAGCACCAATAAACCTGTGCAATATCTCCAGAAATGGCGAATACAGCTTGCGAAAACAGCATCTCTACTACCATAGAATGTCTACTGTAAGGGACGAAGGCTTCCAAAGTGGGGTATCGAGGTGGCCAATACACCCCGCTAAATATCCAGATTACTCTACGTACGAAACAATACAGGGCGCATTGACAGGGATACTCCGGAATAACTCCCAATATAGACTAGTATGCCTTGGCAATTAGGTTTTGAGAAATAATCGAAGAGTGTAAGTGGTGACACCAGTTTCGGGAAGTACTGTAATCAAACTTTTTTTTCTATCTCGCATTCAGATTCATGTTACAGAGTCGGAGTATCGTCATTTTTGGTGGTGGTAGAATTGTTCTTTTAAATTGCTTTATGGTGGCTGGGTGATCTCTGAATAGCTTCATAATTATGAATAAATTTCCCATTAAATTTACCATAGAAAGCTGTACTTCTAACTAGATTAGAACTAGCGTGTTATCCTTTTAGTAATGGAGTTGTGTATAATATTGAAGCTATTCAGAACCCCTTAGGTCCATGCTTATCAGAGCCGTTATACTAATAAGAACCCTTAGAACCATTGGACCTAGGTTTAGAACCGTTATACCTAATCCTAGAAGAGGCCTCTTATAGTGACCGCTAGTTCTCCTATTATAATCACAATCTCCTTGGCTAGTATAAGCACCTCTCTGACTTCCCCCAGTACAGTCTTTATAACGATAACGACCCCTAATACCCCTACTAGGATATCCTCGGTATAGGAGATAAAAGCGAGTATATCCGCTATAGAGATAGACTTAATAGCGGATGTCACGGCGGATATAACGATAGATAACGCGAACGGCAGCTTAAGGAGGGTTAGTATAGCGATACGCTATAAAGGGAGAGCTACTTACTATTTTAGCGGCTAGGCGAGTAGGACGGAATAGGTTAAACTCTAATTTTACGGTTACGATAGCAATGGGGTTAGCCTTAGTAATAGGAATATAAGGAAGGTAGTTTACCTTAGGGGAAGCTTCGAGCGGCAGCTAGAGTAAGTGTAAGGGAGTGGCAGAGGAGAAGAGAGGGGACAATTATATAGTAGGAAGGCTTCTATACCGAGAAATAAGGGAATGTAAAAGGTATATAAAGAAATGGTAGCGACCTTAGTTTCTAATAAGTTACTCTATATATTTCTTATTAGAAATAAGATAGGCAATCCTACATTACTAGTTCTATCCTAACCCTATAACTATACTATTACCCTAGCACCCGATACTTTATACCTATTTCGTCCTTTCCTCTCTTATAGCTTAAGGAAGGCGCGCAAGCTTCTAGCTTGGCCCTAAGGCTAAAACTTAGGTTCGAATAACTCGATATTCTTATTTACGCGTGACCTAACCAAGTTTCTGATATTATACCGAGTTTATGCCTATATATACACTACAGGCTGACTGAGTTCATCGTCGGTAGTCTCTCCCTGTGTGGTTTCATCAGAACGACGTGTTAGCCGTCTTAGTCGCTGCGATCGCCATATAGCTGCTGCCTCGCGATCGGACCGCCGCGCTGCTGTTTCCTCGCCTTACCGAAGTGTTTCAATAGAGATTGGGTCTCGCTGCATTGAAGTTGAAGTTTGAGTTGATCGCAGACCAGTTTGAGTTGATAATGTTCCAGCTGGACGGCCACGAAGCCGTACAACTTCTGGATCCCGGATTCGCATATGAATTGGAATAGGAAGCTCAATATTTGGAGTACTGAGATGCCAATAGACATCGGCAAAGCCCAGCATGGGCCGAAGATTTCGGCCCACGGCCCAACCCCCATGGGCTATGGGCCTAGGGGAGCTGGGCCCAGCCCAGCCCATAGCCCAGTGGGCTAAGCCCATAAGCCCACTGGTAGCCCATTTAGGCCCATTTTTACATAAATAATAGGTCTTGGCATGTATAAGGGGGATTATATAAGATTATTAAATTACAGTTTTTTATCGCTTGTTTTAGTCTGGTCATTCTAATAAAAAACATGCCGATTTGTCCACAAACGTCAAAAATGAAGCCATTCCGAGATTACCTTACCAATTCGTCCCATCTGTGTATAAATACAAATTCGTCCCATCTGTGTACAAATGCAAATTCATCCCATCTGTATACAAATGCAAATTCATCCCATCTGTGTACAAATGCAAATTCATCCCATCTATATACAAATGCAAATTCGTCCGATCTGTGTACAAATGCAAATTCATCTGGTCTTCCTGCAACATGCCGATTTGTCCACAAACGTCAAAAATGAAGCTATTCCGAGATTACCTGACCAATTTATCTGATCTGTATATAAATGCTAATATATCTAATTGATTTGTTTGCTCAATTGGTCTGATCAATTTGTTTGCTTAATTTGTTTGCTTAATTGGTCTGATTAATTGGTTTCATCTGAAATTCAACTATGGGTTTGTGCGGCATTTCGGTAAGCTGCAGAGTTTTCACCCCAATAATCTACAGGCTTTGGTCCCAACTCCTTCGTATAATTACACCACAACTAGTAATAAATTACGGTCGCATTTAATTAATTAGATACTCTCTACTATCTAGCATTTAAATACTGTTTTTAGAATTAAATTATCTCAATTATTGGTGGTGGTTGAATTGATCAGACGAATTTGCATTTGTATACAGCATTTGTATACAGATGGGATGAATTTGCATTTGTACACAGATGGGATGAATTTGCATTTGTACACAGATGGGATGAATTTGCATTTATACACAGATGGGACGAATTTGCATTTGTACACAGATGGGACGAATTTGCATTTGTACATAGATGGGACGAATTGGTAAGGTAATCTCGGAATGGCTTCATTTTTGACGTTTGTGGACGAATCGGCATGTTGCGGGAAGACCAGATGAATTTGCATTTGTATACAGATCGGACGAATTTGCATTTGTATACAGATGGGATGAATTTGCATTTGTACACAGATGGGACGAATTTGCATTTGTATATAGATGGGACGAATTGGTAAGGTAATCTCGGAATGGCTTCATTTTTGACGTTTGTGGACGAATCGGCATGTTGCGGGAAGACCAGATGAATTTGCATTTGTATACAGATAGGACGAATTGGTAAGGTAATCTGGGAATAGCTTCATTTTTGACGTTTATGGACAAATCGGTGTATTGCGGGAAGACCAGATGAATTGGTAAGGTAATCTCGGAATGGCTTCATTTTTGACGTTTATAGACGAATCGGCATGTTGCAGGAAGACCAGATGAATTTGCATTTGTACGTAGATCAGACGAATTGTCGAATGTTTGTAGATAGATCATTGGTATGGTAGAAATATATATATCAGAACATTGCAGAGATATATAATTGAATATACATTGGTATACTAGGCATATGCTTGGCATATGTATGAATTATAATTGGACGAGAGCGCTGTAATGAGAATACAGGCCTAAAATTGCATTAATTATGTAGGCAGATCACTGTATTATGTAAGGCCCATATGGGCCCCCCATCGTGGGCTATGGGCCCAGGGTATCAGCCCATAATTTAGCGTGGGCCGAAGAAGTGAGCCCAAAGCCCAGCCCATTGGTGGGCTGGGCTGGGCTGGGCTATGGGCCGGGTGGGCTTTGCCGATGTCTAGATGCCAATGAGGGTGGAAATCGGCCGGGGAGAGGCTTTGCCCCCTCTCCCAGGCCTAGAAAATTATATGCCTACACGGTAAACCCCTACCTGACAGTGCAAGGCCTGTACAGTCAGGGAAGGAGATAGAAGGAGAAGTTATTGTTTGATCACAATACTTCGAATAAATACCCATTGCTCGATCAATTGCCTCTCGTGAGATAATTCGTTCAAATATATATCTAGCTGTCATCATCCTTTCTTGGAACATCAGATTCAGCACGAATGCATGCTTAACATAATTCGAATTCAACCTCTAGGCCATGACCGGTGTGTTCCAAAGCAACTTGGTTCCAAATTTGTAAGACCTCATCGCTTGGTTCAAATGCTTTGGGGTCATCCTCATTGCTACTCCGTAATAGTTATGCCAAGACCACAAACGGCTGGGCGAATATGGTTACCTCTAGGTATACGTAGCACTATCAGACTACAGCTCTCTAGGATAAGCCCTGGAATATCCGAGATCACTGGCATCCAGGGCGTTGTATACAGCCTTTTTAGCAACTTCTCCTTCCAATTTGGGAACTCAGCTCTTGCCGCTTTTAGAGGAGGCATAAACCGAGCACGTGATCTCGGAGCACTCCGCCATACACCAATGCTCCGTGTTCATGAGATCTTGTTGACCTATAGAGGTCTAATCAACTTGTCTCTCGTATAAACTGTACAGAGATATCAATCAACATTCGTTGTCTGGCATTGATAACGAAAATCAAGCACTCTTTTGTTTCACAGATCGCCATTCCATGAGTAGACTTCCAATCAACGTCGCACATGTCAACCCAACAGCCAAATACCACGTCTGGCTCAAGCTTTTGCCAATATCCTCAAGGATATCCATTTGTCGATTTGCCGGTCCCTGTCTCATGATGTCTGTCAGCCCATTGTCTTGAATGGTCACAGCATCGATGTTTGGGAGTACGCCAGCCAGATTAGTCGCGAGTTGATTCGTGAAAATGACTTGAGCAACAGCAATAAAGACGGCAGGACCAAAGTTTTGTGCGAAAAGAACGATAGAAATCACAAGTGAGTATCTTCGACAAACAGCACAGTTTGCACGGCAGTAATTGGTGCGTTGAAGGCTACTCCACTGGCAAAGCCAGACACTCCGGAGTACATGATAAGCCGGGCGAAACTAGTGTTGACTCCGAATGTCGTAATCAGGCCTGCGAAAATCGGCATCGCCACTGAGGAAAAGAGCATGAATGGCGTGTAATAACCGATTGTGCTGGTTCCCGACCCGCAAAGCAACATCCCGATGGTAGCACCAACAACTATTGGGATCATCATGTAGCCGCTTTCACTTGGAGAATACCCGCGCACAATCTGATAGTAGGTTGGCAAATAATACTCGAGCACATTGATAGCGCTGTTGGTGCAGAGGCCGAATATTGCGCCGGCAATGACGCTGCGATTCTTCAAGATACGCGGTGGTAAAGCAGCGGCATCACCCAGTCGGCGTTGATTGTATAAAAAGGCAGCGATGAGAACTGCAAATGTAACAAGGGCCCGATGGCTTTGCCGTCGTCCCAGGGATACTTGGTTCCAGCCCAAGAAAATGCAATGAAAAGGCTAGTCAGCGCTGGAATGAAGAGCAGGTTGCTCAGCAAATCGAGTTTGACTATTTTCTGTCTGAACCCCATACTTCTGTCGCCCGGACTTGGATCCGAAAATAGGAAAAATGTCACCAGAAGCGCAACACCCCCAATAGGTAGGTTGATCCAGAAGCACCACCGCCAACCAAGCGATTGTGTCAGGGATCCGCCAATAATGGGAGCGGCAATAATGGCTAGATTTTCGACGCCTCCCAAGACTCCACAGAAAAGAGGTCGTCGCCGAAGTGGCAGGATATGTGTAAGAATAGTGTATAACCCGCCTAGGATACCCCCAAAGCCCACTCCAGTCACGGCTCTCCCAGCAACAAACATGGTGGATGTTGTGGCCGTGGAGCAGAGCAAAGATCCCACCAAGAGTATAGCATTGGCGAGCATGAATATGCGCTTGACGGAGAAGAGCTTGTACAGCTTACCGAACATGAATTGAAAGGCGCAGGTGCAGAGTCTAAATCCCGATGAGTACCAGCCAACATCAGCCATGGTGTGAAACTCATCGGTAATACTAGATATCAAAGTGCGATTAGCTTATGGAATATTCAAGATCACCGAATTTTTAGCCCATACTAATAAAGAACGCAAATATAATATCAATATTAAACTATGTTATCTTACCGAAAGGCCACGGGTTAGCCACGGTAACGGTTCTTCCAGAGAAACCTCTATAGAATCAGAGAATCGGTAAGGCACTGAGACTCCCGCTTCCTCTGTCGATTTTAATATGATAAATATTGATCCTCGATTGATGAGACCCGGCCTTATTACCGTTATGAAGCCATTAACCTTCCCGTCAAGAACTGATAATTCTGCCTCCTCTCCTAAATGCCTAGTGGCGAGCACTGACTCGAATTTGGCGGAGATTTCTGCACGGCGAGTCACGAGGGGAATAGCAAAGGCGGCAAATATAGAACCTGGCCCTAAGCTAGAAACCTCATCACAGCATGCGACGCGCTCGTCCCAAACGATTCGGCGTCTAGAAGAGCAGCCTGAGGGGCAGCAGAGGGGTAAAGGACGACAAGGCAAAACGAAGGCGTCCACTATCAAATATACGCCACGTCGGTCAAAGCGATTACGAGCTCAGTGATTTGTAGCTTAGGAATGTTTCTTCTTATTTATATATTTAGGTACAATTCAGAACGTCTCAATAGATTTTAGATGGCTCGAATACTATTCTCATGAGACTTCGGGAGGACCTCAAAGTAACTCGGGAAAAAGTGGCCCAGTGGCTGAGATGCTGAAAGCGGATAAAGAAAACCTAGAACTTGAAAAACTGTAGCGTCTTTTTCTTAGCCTCAAGATATGAGCTGTCTCTGGCGCTAGAATTTGCGACCTTGCGAGTTCTGAAACCGTCGAGGGCGCTAGTTGGAGGTCGGGTGGCCAGCCAGGTCTTGAGACCCCGGTCTCTGAACCCGTTGGGTCCCTGATATCGGGCTCTCTGCCTTCAGTTTGGAATCACTAAACCCAAGTAATTGGCCTCAGGCTGCTAGACTTCAGTTCCTGGTAGCAAATCGCTGTGTATGGCAACATGGGCTATAGTCTCGGCTTGCACTGCTCTGACAAAAAGTTACATTGGCCTTCTCCTTGTCCAATTCTTTTTAGGCGTCACCGAGGCGCCATTCTATCCAGGCGCATTATTTCTCCTGTCTGTTTTCTACACGCGCAAGGAGATCGCTCTCCGTATCTCCATCCTATATACTGGCAATATTGTCGCCACTGCTGTGGCTGGTCTAATTGCAGCTGCAACTTTTGCGACTCTGGACCAACATATGCATCTCAAAGGATGGCAGTGGCTTTTCATCATCGAGGGTGCAGTTACATTTGGTATTGCAGGTCTTGGCATCTTCATGCTGCCCGATCAGTGATCACCCACTCACAACACGGTGGCTGACTCCGGAAGAGCGCCAACTTGCCCACGACCGGATTCAAAGGGACACCGTCAACAGCGAGGAGTCTAAGGGCGCTCTCGCCGGCTTGAAGCAAGTCATGGCCGACCCCCGTATCTACCTGTTGGCTTTCATGCAGAATATGCACCTAAGTGCCTGTGGTTTCAACAACTTCTTTCCCACTGTCGTTGGAAGTCTCGGCTTTAGCAGCACAATAACCTTGGTTTTGACATGCCCTCCATATGTGTTCTCCGGCATCTGCTGCATCATCGTTGGTATCACCTCTGGTCGGTACAATGAGCGGACATGGCACATTACATTGGCAATGGGTGTCGCCGTGATAGGATTTATCATATCCTGCGTGAATTGAATATCGGTGCAAGATATTTGGCTTGCTTCCTTTTTGCCAGTGGTGCATACGCTGTCAATTCAGACATTTTGGGCTAGGTCTCTGCTACACTAGGCCAGACGCCAGAGAAGAAAGCCGCTTCTATTGGCTTTATCAACGTTGTGGCTAACGCATCTTATATTTATACGGCCTACCTCTACCCAAAAAGTGATGGTCCTCGTTACTTGACTGGAATATCGGCGAACACGGCTTTTGGAATTGCAACTATTGGGAGTGCTTGGGCTTTGAGGTGCTGGCTGCAAAACACAAATAAGAAAATTAGCAGGGGTGCTCTGCCTAATGCGGGTGATGTTCTTTATGCCTATTGAGAGATTACCGAGAATGATCGAATCCCGTGTTTTTATGTCAGTATTGAATAGGAAACATGCCTTTGTTCCACGATTGATGTTACCTTACGGCGATATTTAGCTTTGGGCTGACCTAGGAATCCTTTGAAAAACTGCCTGTCTTAAAAGCAATAATTGCACCATATACTTATCCTTAAGTCAAAGAATCATAATCCAATTCCATCAGTGACTGCCGTACAAAGACTTAACATAGCTATTCCATAGCCTCAAATGATATCCAAAAAGCATTGTTGTATACATCATGATTATCCTTAGCGGCTAAAAAACCGCCGACCCAACAGGTCCATAACCAGCGTCAGTCCCTCTTGTTTTTGTGGCTTATTTATCCTCCATTTCCAAGTCTCGTGCAATTGCTTTAGGCGTCCTCCACTTCTTACCCACAAGCAAAGCGGGATGTAGACCGGTCAAGCAAATGCACGCAATTGAAACCATAGCGCCTTCGAGGATCATCAAGGCTATTTCGTCGTTGGCCAATTTACTGTCGAATCCACCCTGGAGCTCGGCCACTCGGAATGAAGATCGGATCAATATAGTTAGAACGGCAGTTGTTAAACCTGATAATGAAACTCGAGTCAGTGGAATGCCCATAGGAAAGATCGAGGTGGTTTACTTACCAAGCAAGAACGATCTCCTCATCCAGCTTGTCGGTCGTTCCTGAGTAGGGGAATGCAGGCGTCTCCCTCTTAAAACCCGAACTCCATACTCAATGGCTAGAATAGAGAACACTACTAGTGATACAACTTGAAAGACCAGTCCAGCGATCATGATGTTGACACCAGTATCGCGAAGTGACTGTTCTTCGGCAATTGAAGTGATGGCTCCACCGGCCGCTTGCAAGATCAGAGAAATCAGATCGCAAGTCACGAACAAGTAGGTATAGGTTCTTGGTTTTAAGCGTGAGAACTCTTCGCCGTAAACTGTAACAATACGACCGAGGCATAGATAGATTCCAGCCGTGAAGAATGCCGGGGCAATGGTGAGACATATCAGATACCTAATGCATCACGCCTCGGTCAGCATACATTCAATTATGTGGTAGGCTCAGTAACCCACATCAAGAAAGCATCGAAGTTGAAAGGGTTATCATGTAAGAGAATTCGGCCCAGATATCCTATGACCTCCAATATAAGGCCCGCGACCATTGGCACCATGAAAGTCCAAGATCGAAATACGATACCGGTACCGATCTGTCCAATGAGTATGATTGCGAAAAGAGCGAGGTAGAAGATGTTTCCAGCCATGTTAGGCTGATACTGGATATAAGCATCATCTAAAGGACATGTCTGCAAAGTGCAATTATCCGAATTGGACATGATCACGCAATAGTAAAGAGCCTTGGGAAATATAGTAGGTCAAATCACTTTGAAGAGAATGAGTGCTGTGATTAAATTGATATCAGCAAATCCATGATAGATTCGTCACTATTTATGTGAAGACCCAAAGGTGTTTGACGCTGCCTATCCATAATTAATGATGATTACGAGGCTGTGTGGGTATTTTAAAACTTCAACTTGAGGTAATCTCACTCCCAAGTCCTTCGAATTCATAGTCAAACCAATAATCAACTTGCCATCAAGATTGATACGATATAGTGGATCCCTAGTAAAGCCGTTGCCTGGCGGTCACCGATGCCAAGACTTTTGCCCTTTGACCGTATCCTTGTCCGTGTCCGTGTCCTTGTCCTTGTCCTTGTCCTTATCCTTATCCTCTTCAACTCGCCTTGTCCTGATGCTCCTTTCACCAGAACAGATTGACTATACTCAATTTGGAACATGGAATCTATGTCAGGACACATCAAAACATGTCAAAATTGTGCTCGTGGCAAAATCCGATGTATCCGAACTTCGGATTCCTCTATCTGTGATCGGCAAGTAGTGGAACTCGAACATCATGTTTATTCTCAACTATAACCATATGCTAATATAAGAGCTCAGATGTCGCCGCCTTGGCAAAGAGTGCTATTTTCGGCCCGCTCGACCTCGTTACAACCCCGCTAAGAAGGGGACGTAAGGCTCCCAAATTCCATTTGATTCGTGACAGTGAATATAAGCTGACGGAAGCTTAAAAAATCAGACGAGTCGAGGCTCTCGAAGCCAAAGTGGATCAGCTCTTAGCTCGAGTCGTCAATAATCAGCACACTCAACACCAGGCTGATGTTCCTTTAGTCCTGTCTGACCCAGAACCTCATTCCATCCCGGATAAACCCCGAGATGTTATTGATCGCGGGATCGTGAGATTTGATGATGCCGTCACGATTCTTGAATCTTTTCGAGAAACCTTGATGCCATTTTTCCCTTTTATCTATATCGCACCGGAAGTGACGCTTGCGCAGCTGCGAGCAGAGAAACCGCTTCTCTTGCTGGCTATCCTCAAGGTCTCATCATACAAGAATGCAGCCTCTCAGCAGATATTGGAAGAGACATTTCAAAAAGCAGTTGCTGATCAGATGATCTTCGCCTATAATCCATCTATGGATTTATTGCTGGGACTTCTTGTGGCTTTGGCATGGTGAGTCTAATCCAAAGTGGTTTTATTGAAGATGACACTACTGACTCAAAGCCTCAATATCCCAGGTTGCAGCATCAGTCCCAGCATGAAAGATTTTGCAGCTACATTCATCTTGCTTGGAGTATCGTCGGTGATTTGCGGCTTGACCGGTTGTCGGAAACCCATTCATACTATTCACGGATGGCTATGAGCAAGGTCTCTTCAGATGAAAACAGTAGTAGACATTCGGTGAACGAGAGAAGACGAGCTTTGATTGGATGTTACATGCTATCCTCATGGTCAGTAACAATGCCCATATCCCCCTCATATTACTGACTGAGTATGGGTGTCTGCAGTCTCTCGACAATATTGCAAAAGGATCGCATGATGACTCGGCTGTCCTATGTTGAAAAGCATGCACTTGGATTACTATCCAATGCTGAGATTGCCAGTGATCGCTGCTTAGTACAATTAGTAAAATTACAACAAATCTTTGAACGGATCGATGATGCTGTGGCCACTACTGCGAATCCAGTACGAGAGGTTGATATGCATGCATTCCAAATCGAAATCAACGAATACAGAACGACCTTGCCGGCAACGCCTTCGGACAATTGTAAGTGACGCCGCTTGTGAGTTTGATTGATTACGCTGAAACTATTGCTAACTCACGGCCCACGGTTTAGCCCTCCTTCAATTTCAACTACACACTCTTCAATTGTTTCTATGCCAGGCTTGCTTATTTGATAAACATGAAACAGCCAACTATTCGGCTTCGCCCGCGCCTCGCTCCCATGCAGACTCAGGGCTACCACCACACCTCAAAAGTGGCCACCAACCGTTAGACTTATCACCCTTCCAGGTCGAATTTCTCAACCGCGGCATGACCGAAGCAAAGAAATTCTTTGATTACTTTTTCACATTTGCTCCGAATACTCATCGGCTGATCAGTCATACCCAATGGCTGCAATCAGGCTTTAACTTGGTTCTAGGCTGCAAACTGGCCATCATGGGGGCAAAATACGCCCCACGCAGTCCACATGTTCGTGCCCTTTGCTCGGATTTGAACATGCCACACATTTTGCGGACTGTGTTACAACTAATCCAATGGCTCAGCAAGGACAGAGTGGCTGTAGATGGGAAACAGCACTCTAAGTACTTCTACGAGGCATGGCTGTCGCATATCCTTGAATGGTTCGAGCAAAAGTATCACCTGGTGCCTTCTGAAGATACAGCCCAAATACCTACAGGATTATCCGATGGCGGCTTCGGGCCCTCTACTTTGGCCAATAGCGCAATCTCGCAAGATGTTCCCCTGATGGGTGAAAATTATGGCGCCACACAAGTTGCACAGGTAGATGATACAGACTTATGGCCGGACTTCCTTTGGAACATAAGCACAGATGACATACTCAATGAGTGTATGGGGCTTCCGGATATGCCGTATCCCACATTGCAGCCTGGTTATGACATGCCACTGCCATGAGAACGAAAGATATCGGGATTTGCAAATGCAAAACACCAAATAAAGAGACCAAGAGCTTGGTCCCACGGTGGCATCACTTTGAGCCAGTTTTCTTGCTGCTCACAAAAATAATCCAAGCTCAACAGGAGCTGATTTTATTTGGTCCCCTTGGATCTCGCGAATCAACGCATTGCTTGGGTAGTCTTCCAGATCCAGATCAATGTATCCACTGGAAGCCCATTTTCTTCCTGATCCACCAGCCCATCCACAACGGAAATCACTGAGTCACACGTAAGGCCGACGGTATATACGGCATTTCTCCCATTGGATCAAGTTTCATATTCGAAAAAGTCCACGGTCTTCCTTACTACGCCTCTCTGGGAGAGGGCTATAGCGAAGGGATCGTCTCTAAAGGGCTGCTTAGCGTAAGGACTAACGTCTAGTTGGGTGAGGCATTATACATAACTCCGGGGCCGAAAAAAATATAAAGGAAAACTCACGTTTGACATATATTGTGAAGAGAAGGCTAAAGACTCTTTGGGATATAGTGACTGCGGGCACTTATAAACAAAGAAACAGGCAGAGAACTAGGAATAGGCGAAGAGGAGAATTTGAAGGTGATTCGAATTCCAGTTTTGCCATATTGGTAGAATTGTAGTCTCTTTTATAGACAACGACGGAGGCCCAGAAGATATAATCCTTCTTCTACTAAGAGTAGACAATCTTAACTAGATTCTGTAATCTAACCCATTACAGTTAAGGACGCTAGACTATACCAGTTTCATAGTCCACAATAAGTTATAGTTTACTAGCAAAAATTCCCGTAGTTACAGTCTCACATTAACTATTAAGATATAGTATCGACTAAGGTCTAGGGCGTATGCAGCATTTTCGCTATTGGCCTATATAACCAAGCTGTTATTTCGAGATTTCACTGATTAGGTAGAGAGGGGCCGGAGAGACCGACGATAACGACAACTAGGCGTTTGGCCAGGTAACTAGGAGCTAT